AATTAGTCACGCTGACAAAATTGCAAAGCTCAAAATTCGATCGATCCCTTCGTGTCGATCACGCGCGCGAGCAATGTTATAATGTGGATAAAACTAAAATTAGTAGAAACTGAATTTTACGCGTATATATTGCGGACGCCGTCAGCAACGTTTGACCTATCGATTTTGTCTTCCGCCATATTTCTACCGGGAGGGATCGGCTGTAGCTTATAGATGAATTATAGTTGCTCTTTGCTATCGTGCATTCAACGGTGATGTATGACTCGGCGGGAGACGGTAGGTAGAAAACATCCACGATGTACGGCCTGTTAATAACAGCAAGAATGAACGAACGACTGCGCAGCGCGGTACACAGATGCCGCTGGCGACTAGACCCCCTTTGTGTTTTATTACAAACGATACGTCAACCACGATGTATGGGCTGCTTTTATCTGTGGCCTGTTATTGATGTGCTAAATTGTCCGCGCTGACTCGTAAGACTGGTCAGAACACGCCTGATAGACGTCGCCCAGGGACGCACTAATCGTGCTAGCCGGCTTTTCTCCCCGACAAAGAAATCTCGCAGGTAACAACGACGGACCTAACACATCGTTTGCCAAAACGGCCGGGACTGGCAGCGAGAGGCTGCAAATATCATATTATATAGTAAACTTTACTTAGGACTCGACATACGGAGGAAATATTTGACTTGAAAAATAAAGAATGTGCGCAAGATGTTTGGAATTAAATATATCATTTTTCACCGAACGACATCCGCGTTCTCGATGGAATGTGAATTACTGCAGCTATATATTGTTAAATTATGATGATAAATGGAAGCAATACGCTGTCTATGCTTCATAAACATCAACATTTCACTGAAAACAAGAAATAACTTAATTGGAAATTCCGATGTGCCAACAACGAAAGAAGACGACAACTAGAGCTGTGGAAATTATAAATAATACGTAGTAAGTCGTCTGCTACTTTTATTTACGGATTGCTATTGACAATCTGATATTTTCCGATACCGTGCAATATTATACCGAAGATCGAAACACTCCGGCATAAATTATTGTCAATAAGTCTGACACTTCTAGCTAATCAGACGACCTATTAAACGAAGGATGCACAAGGTTCCCTGTCTAATCCCTAAAAGAAAGTCTCGGAAACGAATTTACGTGCCGTTTTATATTTCAATATCATTTAATGTCACTTAAGATCGCCAATTATGTGTTCGCTCTGCATCATTTCGTTTACTTCCTGCGGCAAATTGATATTAAATCCTCAGTATATAAAAAGAAATATTAAATATGCTGTATCGTATGTAACAACATCAACACGTCAGATGTGAAAGGTGGATGTTGTTAATGACGATCAATATTTCACCTTAACCAAGACAGATACTTTGTAAGTCGCAACGCAGCAATACTAATGGTTACTGACCAAAAAATATATAAAACCAAGAATTTCGGAAATAACAATTGAGTCATCTATCGTCTCGTGATTGCTACTGATGACTCGATTCTCTTTTTAGATAAACAGACAACTTAGTAGGATGTAAGGAATATATCATCGGAGGATAATGACGTAAATGACGTCAATTTAGTGAAAAAGAAATTAATTATACTGACTCAAGGATTCTATTTCTAATAAGTAGAAACACGCTGGAAAAAATGTATTTCATTCGTATCAACCAACATGTGTATGCGTAGCCGTTCGAACACCCTAATTTTCCTCCGTGATTCGATAGGACTCTTCTAAGGAGACAGCTAAGACGCACGTCATGCGGAGACGTAACTCCGATGTTCTGATCGTGACACATGTCCGTCGCAGAAAAGACGCACCGAGCACGCTGCCAAACGCGCCAGCCGTTGATTTTCCACAAAATGTCTAAACGGTTGATTGACATGTTTATTCGTAATGTAATCTCGCGGGTTCGCGTTAAATCACGTTAACGTCAACGCGCCGCGTTTGGCTTTGAAGGTTTTAATTAATATGGGGCGAAACGCGACTCGCTCAGTTATATTCCAAATGTAAAATAGAGTTCTGCCGTTCGTTTTTACATGTGCCTTTTTTTTGTCTTGCAATAACAATATTAATGATAACGAAATAATAAGCTTTACTAATATACGAATGATGATATAATGTTCGAGAACGAGTGGTTAATGAAGAAGAAAAAGGATGAACTTGTGCTGAAAATAAAATAAAATAAAATAAACGAAGGAAAGTTTTACATGCGAAAGGCAGGTTATTCGATATATAAATTAATAATAATTTTATTTGCAATTTAGCAAAAATCTGAAAATCGATACACATTATTATTTCATAATAGATTGTGAGACACGACATGAACATTAAACTTCTACCAATGGCGAGCAATAGATTAATTGCTGCCTTTATTCACGCCGGTTATTTTAATCTTCACAAAGGTAAAACATTTCATTGTAATATATATATTTTTAGCTGATGATGAAATAACGCGTTAGATTTGAGCAGTGACGTGAACATGCGGTATATGTTTCTTTGAAAAAAACACATTTATAAATGCATTTATTCATTTAGTTCGAACGCTTATCTACAAAAACTGAACGTTCTTGGAAACGTATAATTATAGTTACAGCCACTGCGAGTAGCAGTTTGAGCATCATAAAATACAACTGCTTTTTGTGCAGAATGAAATAAAAAAAAAGTGTTAGCATTCATCCATTACATGCGGACACATGAAAGGTTTAATTATATCCAGGGTCTTTCTAATTGAGATTTCGCGACATGCATAATCGCCTTGAAATAACATGAATTCCAATCGGCGGAAGGCGTCATGAAAAGCGAAATACGGCCGGGACCATTCATCCCGACGGTTAAAATCGCCGAATATTTCACTTTGCTGAGCCAGCTGAGCCTGCCACCGCCTGTCGCGTCACCCCGACGATGGAAACGACGGAGGGATGAAGCAGATCTTCTCCGACTCACTCCCACCCCTACGAGAGCCGGCTCTAGAAACCTATGGTTCGCCACATCCCTCTCGCACTGTCTCCTTCTCCCCCCCCCACCCCTCCCTCTCGTTCTCTCTGTCTCTCTCTCTCTCTCTCTCTCTCTCTTTCTCTCTTTCTCTCTCTCTCTCTCTCTCTCTCTCTCTTTCTCTCCTATACTAGGCTACAGATTTATGCGCCCCGCCTTGCAGCGCTGATATCCGAGAGCTCACGACCCGCTCCGTCCGTAATGAAAGAAATAAATTTACTTTTCTGGGGATGCCCCGGGGATTGAGATTCGTCGTTCGTATGCGCACACGAACGTGGCACGCCGCATTTCAGCGATGTTAAGGGGACACGATTTTAGACGATTAGAAGAAAAAAAATGACAGTGTAAGAACTTTGTTATTATATTTGGTACTCTTGAAACTATGTTGAATACATTGTATTTTTACAACCTTACCCACAATAGATCGTAAGACTAAAGAAATGAGAAATAAGACAAAAACAATTATATATATACACGTATATACGCGAAGTTGTGTAGTGCAAATTCAAATCGAAGAAGAAATATGACTGTTGGTTATAATATACACAAATAAGAGCTTTAGACGTATAAAAAGTATGTGTCATGGTTACTAGTGGATGGCAGATTATAAAGTGCATTTGATAAATTGACCAAACGTGATAAGCAATCAGAAATTATAACGGGTCAATGAGATCAGGGTGATTTTTACATCTCATGCGACAAGAACAAGTGCGATATAAGTACAAATAAAAGTAAAACTTGAGAATAATTTATACTATTGCTGCTAAGAATTTTAATAAATTTTATGCGTAAATATAAAAGTTACTATATTGAAATATATTAAAATGTATACATTCTAAATATATATATATATATATATATATAGGAAAAATATCAATTCGAGAAATAATTTCGTAATTTTAAGTATATAAAATCATAAAATACCAAGCAGGAAGAATAAACAGGAATCACAGACATAATCGAGTGAATGATAAAATAGTGAAACACACAAAATATTAGTGATTCTACAAACATTTTTATTAAAGCGGTATGGAAACTCAACGATATTTACAAGAGATATTTACAATGTAGATAATGTGCGTATCGTACATCATGTGCATCTTCTATTAGAATATCCTATTCGACAATATGATAAACGATGTGACCCGATACGCTCTCAAGACAGAACTAGTCAGAACTAATCGAAGATTCTTTGTACAATCAACGAATTTTGAAAAGAAAAGAAGATGAAACAAGTCTTCGGTGAATTTTATATCTGTTCGTTGAAACGACATCCGTATCTATCTTACACAAGTGATGACAATAAATTACAACATTATATTTTGCATCAGATATCTTAGATATTTCCGTTAGTAAGATTCCTTTTTCGACCACTTCCTCAAAAAAGTAGCGTAATATCACAGTTATATCATGGACATAGAATACGCGCGACCGTGTCCATACGGTGCCGCGTTTATTGAACGCAATACCATACCACAGATGGTTTGCGTTTGCAAAGCGCCGAAAAACATACAATTTTATAATTGTAATACGCACTTTACAATCTTCACGGACATATGTCCCCATACATCGACGAATAACCAATTAATGTCTCTTGTGATGCGAGGATGATACAAGGAGAGACAACAATTCCCGTTGCGTAAGCGTTGAAAAACTGAAATAGCACGCGATATCGTGTCTTGCGTGAGAACAAGGTTGAACAAGGATCCGTCCAAGCACTCATCGCGATGTTACCTTACATCTGGCATGCAGTTCTTCCCTACATGGTAACCGGATCTCAATAGAGACGCGTATCGTACTTGTATCGTACAAGTTCCGCAAGAGAAATGGTTTCGCGATGCAATGTTACACTGTCAAATTGTTTCATAAACTTTAATTGTAATTTTCAATGTACACACACACACACACACACACACACACACACACACACACACACACACACACACACACACACACACACACATGTACATGTATATATGTATATATGTGTGCATATATATACATATATATTTATGTATATATAGAATTCTTTTAAATAAATTTGTATTGTACACAGTGGCTATTTACACAACAGTCTCAGACCGTAAGTCCGATAAATCCGCGTACGCGTGTCTTTGCACATTCTCTCCAACTGTACACTGAGAAAGAAATAGAGAAAGACGAAGGAGGAGAAAGTTCCTCTAAAAAAAACCGTACCACCGTATATATCCATCTTGTATATCCATCTTAAGGATGTACAGCGGCGCCGATTCGCTGTCCATAAATCGCGTACGGCGAATAATACGGCCCCAAGGCGTTGAAAGCGCTGTACGGCGATGCAGCGAGCGAAGCTGGGAGCGGACCCGTCGGTGGTTTTCCGTAAGGATGATATCTGGCGCTGAGAGGACTTAGCGACGGTGCCGGGTAGGAAGCGCCGCTAGCTCGATGAAGCGCCGTCGATGGCGACAACAGCGGATGCGGGTGAGGATTGCCGAGAAGAGCTGCTGCGGAGGCTGCGTGATCGCTGCCGGTCAGACTTGTATGACTGCGAAGATGCTGCAGGAGCTCCTCCGACGTGGCGAACCGTTTGCCACAATAGGACTCGCCAGCGATCCAATTGCAAACGTAAGGCCGACCGCCGGCTAACGTGGACGGATAGGACAATGACGGCGGCGGCATTGGGCCCAAAGACGATAACGCCATAGCCAGTCCGTATTTCTGATGATCGCACTGAGTGCAGCCGCTTGGACAACTACCTGCTCCCATCATAATCTGAGCGCTGTGCATACTGTATTGACAGCCAGTGCAATAAGGGTCTTTGCAGACCGGCACTAAAGCTTCACCGCCCGCCGGGGTTTTGACACGGGCATAACTCAGATATGGATTGCCTCCAGTCGGACTGGCCGACGGATAGCCCAAAAGCGCTGCTGCGGCATGATGATGCGAGAAAGGTGACGCGCCAGCGAATGGCGGCCTGAAGGCTGGATTCTCCGCTAGACCTGGTGGGCAGCATAAGGGATTGCCAGAAAATCCTGGAAGACCCGGCTTGTAAGCGGCCAGATTAGTATCCTTTGTGTGAACACCAGATAAGATCTCCATTCCAGACCTAATGATCGGACTCGTGCCATTATTGTTATTGCTGTTATTGTTACTGCTGCTGCTGCTGCTGCTGCTATTCCGCGGTGAACCATCGGTCTTCTCACGGTCGGCAGGGGTCTTTCGATCAGCCGACGGTGTCCCACTAGTGACCGTTGCCGTCGCTTGATCGCTCGGTGATGCGGACTTTCGACTCACTGGGGTACGATTGCCGGACGATTTCTTGTCGGAATGCGCATTATCACTAACACTGACACTGTCCTGACCACTGACACTGTGCACACTGGCTTTAGACGTAGGTCTACCCTCGTCCGAAGTTTTCTTCGTCACAACGTTGGTCTCGTATGGCTTGAACGCCAACGACTTGCCGTCCGTCGGACTGCCGCGCATATTGCGTTCCAGTTTCGCGGCTGGAGGTGATTTGGCATTCGTAGCAATGTTCATACTCTTCGAAGTCTTTTCCAAAGGAGAAATCAACGGTTTAGTCGGCGAATCTGCTCCGATTTGACTGCATGTCTGTGCCAACAGTGCTAACGGACTCTTCTTCGCGTCCAACTGCAACCCAAAAGAAAACACGTCATATAAATGATCAACGAAAAATACAACGATTTTTGTCTGCATATTACTGCTGAATATACCAGAAAAAATGAAATGATACAACTGAAACCAATGATACGATAGTCATTCGCTACCAGTCGCTTCGCCCAGTGTTCCGTCGGGCAACAAATGCTATTACGAATACTAGTACGTCGTATACTAATGTGTCGGCAGTACTACGGTAATAATACGGTAAAACCGTGTTTTTTAAACAAGAGAGCAAAAAATATCGCAATATTCATTTTTTTTGTAAAACAATATGCATTTATAGCCTTATCAGAGATATTTGGGTTTTTGCTATCTCTTTATCGGTAATAATAAAATTCGAAAAAAAACTTCGAGTTTGAATCTGAAGGGTGAAGGAGTAAACAAATAATACAAACCGTAGTTGGAAGCGGAGAAAGATAATCCGGTTGTAAGTACTGATTGTGTCCAGTAGTCAGCATACCGCCTTCCTCGAGCACAACCATTTGGGTTTACCACTAAGAAATCACACTGCACTTAAACCAATAGAGATTATTCACACAGAACCGTGCGAAACTAGTCACGTCGCTTCCGACCTTCAGGGCTACCGAAAAATCCGCAAGCACAGATCGAGGTTGTATCTCCGTCGGAATCGATCACCTCCTCGCACTGCACGTAACGGTGCAAAAAGCGACGTATACTGCACGGAATCCAGGAAAATAGTGGCACCTCTCGCCGAAGCTGCTCCGAGCTCCAAATGGAATGCTAGCCCTGCGCCGTCTGGTGGCGTAACGCGAAGCTCACTTTCCGTCTCCTAACCCTCTGCTCCTCGACAAGCCGAGGTGTATAACCTGTCTTCTCCTATCGTCCCCACCTAACCTACTCGACGTACGTAGAGGGGAGGTGGCATTATGGTGGGAGAATTGCGGTGGGGTTCGGTACTGTGTGGGGTGTGGGAAGGCATTCTAATTCAACACGCCACCCATGATGTTGGCCCGACGATGACAGCTCCCATCCCGGCTTTGATATTTCACCGCTTTTACAGCCGTCTATCCCCCTCCCCGCTCGTCCAACCGACGTTCCTCACTTCCCCACCAACCTCTTCTCCGACATTCCGTCCCTCTCTCTCTCTCTCTCTCTCTCTCTCACTCTCTCGTACTATGGTCGCTTCCCCTGCTATCCCTTCCCGTTGGGGCTACCATAGCTGCCACGACACGGAACCGTCGTCCCTGCCACCACGGCAACCCGATATTTTATACCGTGAAACCTGTCTGTCTCTCCGACCGGCCCCGCTTAATAAGCAGCTTTCAAAATAGAAATGTAATGGGCTAGTGGGGGTAGGGGAGCGGGTCGGGTGATTGATTGCTCGCTCAACGACTTACCGACTTGCCGCGGCCCCACGGGGTAACGAATGACAGCCACTTAAGCGCTGTTTGCCTACAGTTTTGTAAAAGCGTTTTAATTATCGCCCCGACTCCGGCCTCGACTACAGTGCGCACTGAGTCATCCGGTACTTAACGTCTCGCGGCTACCGATCTCTCGATGTTTGCTCGCCACTCTCGCTGTCGCATTGTAGATCGCATACCCCGTAGATTCATCGATATCAGACGAACACTGTCGAAGTAACGTGTACCGATCTCGGGCACGATGAACGATGCGAGTATATTTTTTTTATCGTTTCAGACCGTTGTCACATAGGCGATCCACGAATTCTTCCAATTCTTTCAACATTTTTATCTTATCGAACCGTGCCGTTCACTGTTTGCTTGCGAAACAAACGCAGATGGTCACAAGCGCACACTATCCATCGGTATGAATCTTTTCCATTATCAACAGTTGAGCTCTTTCCTAATATTGTTACAAAAATCGTGTGTATTCACGTAAAATAAAACGCGCGAGGCGCATACTCGGTGAAATCCTACGGCGCACTCACGCGTGTAACGCATTTACGCGCTCGCCAAGCACGCATCGTGCGCGTCCACATGACGAGCGATACGGCCATTAAAGAGCTCGACTATCAGGCCTCGCTGGAACTCAAACGCTCCGCGGTTAGGCGATTACGGCCATTCCGTTAAGTACAGCTTAAGCAAGATAAAGCGATCGATGAAGTAACTATGTTACAAGGTAATTACGACGAATTATGACGATATCCACACGCCCGCTACGCAGACCGCATATCCGCGGTAAACAATAATTACCTCGGGGAGCACTTCGCACAGGAATGCAACTGAACAGTATCTGAGAAATGCATATAGGTATGTCGACTATAATTTACACAGGAATTCATTATAACATTCTTGGTGTCATTAACTGTTATAATATACGCTGCGAATAGAAATCCGCAATGGTACGGTGTGATGTTACTTTTGTTCCTTTCGAGGAGTAATTTTTGCAGTCGTCACGATGATAAAATAACCGTCGCTCGGGACTAGTTAGTTTTTGTTTTTGCAAGCTCGTGACAGCAAAAATCATCTCTATCCATTAATTGTATTATAATAAAAGCATGGCTCCCGTATTTCTGTCTCATTAAAGATCAATGCCGTCGAGCTTTTTCGAGAACAGATAAAGATAGCTAGCTGGTAGTTCAGCTTCTACGTAAGCTGTCTGTTGTTATGGCGCCGCTAATATTTCGAGGGCGATTCTTTGACGTTTTGACGCTGACGGATGAGTTTACGGCTAATATAGTTCTCTTTCATCTTAGGCCAACCCCTCGTGCCTTGCTTCGAAGATTTCAAGCTGACGGCAGCCCCGACAACGAAAAGTTCAGTCTGGTCATTGACGTGTATTCCTATTCTAAACAATGTTTCCTTAAAAAAAAAAAAAAACTAACGTTAAGAATGTACATATTTTTCTTTTATTTTGGATAGCTTAATCTAACCTAACCTAACCTAACCTAACCTAACTCATACACTTATATATAAGCTGTCTGCTAAACTAACCTAACCTGATCCTAATCTAACCTAACCTAACAAAACCCAACATAAGCTATATCTGTACAGACAATATAAATGTGTTTCGCTTTCCCTTTCAAGGTTGCGTGAGGATAAAGCTTCGTTATTCGACACTTTAAATCATGGCCGTCTTTAATCGTAGGACACCGTTGAATGATTATCGAACTGACGACACCGCGACAACGATCCGCCCATTGATGTCTTTCAGGACCGTATTGTGACCATACGAATTCGCTCCGGGAACAATAGACATCGGGAGAGCTTCGGATAAAAGTGTAAAAATGCTGACAAGCGGATAATAAAGGAGGCAGTCAGTCACTTTGAGAGATGGCGCCGAACAAAGAGGGCGAACGAAGGGAGAGACGATCCGACGAGAGCAAGAGCGGGGGATTGCTCGGTGAGCCGTGAAAGGGAAAAAGATGGATGAACGCGAACGCAGTTGGCGTGCACAGAGGAGAAACAGAATTTGCGGGGGATAATAAATCATAGCGGTCTTTCTTCCGCCATTCCCCTATCCCTCCCCGCTCCTAACTTCTTATACACCCAGCTCTGCGCTCGGAATGACAGGGGTGCGCGCTATGCGGTTATATACGTATCGTCGAGGACGGATACAACCTATTTTGTATCAAGTTTCGCATGAAAAGTGAACCACGCGTTGCGAAGCGAGCTTTATATTCGAATCTGCACGGTTTTCTCGATGAAGATTTATTACCTCACGCGTTTACCACGCGGCATGAGGTTTGAGCCATTTGTGTCAGAATAATTTGCTATAAAGCAAACATCAAGCTTTTCATGCGTAATCGGTTTATTATTTATCAACGTTGCAACATGCGCCATTTGCGCCATCGATTCTACAAATTCATTTACCACTTGCGCAGGAGAACGAATTCGGAATTTCACAGGCACAATTTTGAATACACGAGATCCAGCGACGTTGGACGTTTTACCAAAAAGAGCACTGTGCGTGTCACGCGTCTACGAAGAGTACAATACAGACTCATAATTATTTCTGACAACCCGTTTCACTATGCCGATGATCAAAGAGGTCACGTTATCCGGCTTCCGACAGTATGCCAGTCAATAGATCGACCGGGAAAAAGGAAGTGGCGGATAAAAAAAAAGAAAGTGCACGCTCGGCAATAATAATAACAGGGGACGGAGGCACAGGCAGAAATACGGAGCTGCCGGCGCAGCACATCGAGCAACTCGGCAAGGGTCTCGTTGCCTCATGTTTAAATCAGCGATAACGAGAAGCTTCGGTGACATATGTCACTGTCGCTGTCAGCCGGCTACACAATCAATATAGTTACCCGCCCGTCCGTCTGTCCGCCCTCTCTCCTTGCGTCGCCGGCTCGAGCTGCGCCTGCTTTTCAGCCTTCGCATGCATAGACCGTATACCCGTCCGATAATGTATTCGGTACGTGACTTCGTATTCGACAAATACAAGAGCACCGTGGTCCGGTATACAGCTCGCCACGTAGTCCGTCGCATCGTCGAATGTCTTTCACGAGATTCGGAAGACATTCGATGTCACACCATCGTAGATGAGGCAGCGCCGCCGCGGCCGTAATGAACCAGCCATATTCCATTTTTCTCACTTGTCAGTAATTTTATGTTACTATTTCGACATGAATACTGGTCCACTTTTGGCCCACTCTCAATCCAATACATCTGTTATAAACCAATGGTGACAATTTCGTTCGTATCGCGTTGCTTCCTGTTTTAAGCTCATGATATTACGCGTGCAATAGAAATACATTGTTAGGAAATATATATCGACTGAAAAGTCGATATAGTATTTTATGGATAAATTGTTACGTAAGTTTAATATGTGTTGTTTAATATGTAGTGTATTCAAATCAGTAGCACGGTAAATTTGTTTGATGTCTTTGCTGTGTTGATAGTAACCTCATAACACCAAATAGAGCAAGTAGGTAGCGCTGAAATTAACACAGACATGTGTGTAAACAGCTTTGGATAATAAATATGATGCGTTCGATTGACTCGGATTACCACTTAATTTAGACGATGGACGAGGCGACAGTTTGTCAGTCGTCTGCGAATCCCGGTTTACCGAGCATACACGCGGGTCCAAATGGCTTTATCGCGCTGTCAATCGATAATAGCGGCTTACTGATTAAACGACTTGCTTAATATTCATATAATACAACCGAGATGTTAAGCCTGATATTATAATATCTACCACAGACAAATGATATTGAAAGAAAATACAATAGGTAGATACAGACTAGGTTGGGTTAAGTTGCACTAGGGTTAGGTTAGGTTAGGTACTTTAATAACAAAACTGCCGTACATTGTGACTCCTCAGACAACTGAGACAATAAAGAGACAAATGATTGTTTGCAAGTTGCAGAGTTTCTCCTTGAAACGCCCGGTTAAAATAACGGATTAATTTTCAGTGTCGTTACGTCACAACTGTAAGCAAAAAAGGCTAACTTGAGTAGTCGACATCAGATATATACCAAAATTTACTGTAGGCACTACAGGCCCTATCGTTTCCCTCTACTACGCGCTCTCGACCCGTCAGCTATATTCGAGAGATCATATTTTACGTTTTAATCTCTCCATTGTTCCAGGTATAACGGAGTTTAGAAGGAAAAATAATGCCTACTGCGGAACACACAAAGCTGTCGGCCATAAAACACTGATGTCAGGCCAGGCAAACGGCGCGCTTGCGCGCACGACCTGCATTTTTATGTCCACGACCAGATCCGTGCGCGGATTTTTTCCAGGTCTAGTGAGTCTGAGAGTGGGACCCCGCAATGTCAAACACACACACACACACACACACACACACACATGGGTCCGCGCATGCACCCTATGCGA